CATTTGAATAAAATGGCTTCAGCAATTTTTAGATAATAAAAAAGTAAAAGACACGCATGTTGAAATTGATGAAATTGCATGAATATCAAAATTTGAACACTTTTCATTAAAGTTAATTAATTCAGTATATGACATATGACCTTAATGAACCTGGAATTTAGTCTGTTACTGGTCTGCATATTGATGAGATGTCCTAAAGACCTCGTCCATCTGCCAACAGACAGACCGAGGATCACCTCATTCCAACCACTGCAGGATTCATTCTCAGACTTACAGGGTGACAGAGGGATGTGACGAGAACAAACAAACTTTTTTTTTGGATCCAAGCTTCTAAATTTAACTGCTGCCTTACATCCTCTCCCCGCCCTCTCAAGGCCTGTCATTCATCTGAGGTGTTGGAGGAGAGGATGGTTGAAATATAGCCCGAGAGGTCAGACATTACTGGCGGCAGGGTAGGGGGGTGGGGGGAGACTTTGATGAGTGGGTGGTTGTTTTTCGGACATTGCGTTGGGACTAGAAAAAAAAAAAAAAAAAGATGCCGGAGAGATGGGATGGCTCATGAAAGGAGGGGAGGCTGGCAGTATTAAAGGCCGAGGGTTGAGATAGACAACAGACTGTGCAGGACGAGTGAGTCACGCTGTGGAGGAGAGGAGATCGTTCAGGATGCCGGAGCCAGTCAAAAAAAATGGTAAGTGATGATTCAACTACTTTTGAAAATGGATCAACTTCCAGTGAATTGTCTAAAAAGGTCAGCACATTCTCACTGACCGCTGTCTTCATCTGAGGAACGTGGAGACTGTGATCTTTCAACCACACTGCAGCAGAATGACGCTAAATAATATTCCTTGGTGCAGAAACTTCCTGTAAGAAACTACGTGAAATTACAAAATGTTTTTGAGAAAATATTTGACTGCACTTCCCACTTAAGCAGCTTCCCAACACAACTGAACCACTCACTTCAGATCGGTTCAGTGTTTTCATGATAAAGTGTTTTCACTGCGTCATGTGTCTTTGTTTAGTTTTATTTAATCCTG